ACCGTTCGTCACGTCATTCATGAACTGTAATGATCACAACATCAATTCCGACCAGTCTGTCGATGTTCTGTTCAGAAGGGTGCGATACAATAACTTTTTATTAATCTTCTGAACCCTTGAATGTCCCACTTGGAAGGTTGAGATCTCATTAGAGTTTTTGCAACTTTTCTGGACTACGGAAACCTTTCCTAATAAGTGTGATTTTTTTTTGAATTTTACAGACTTCTTGGTTTACTGCGATGTTTTCAGTTGTTTGGCTGCACCTTCATACCGTAAACTTCGGTCACTTCTGGAAAGAAGAAAGCTTACGAATGCAAAACATTTCCAAATATGTGTTCTTTTACCTTGATTTAAGAGTAATTTTTTAAATTCTTAGATGATTTTGTATATAATATTAATTATTGGTCATTGTACCTTGTATTGAACCTTCTAGTTGTTTCACGGAAATAAAAATTATATAACGAAAGCCGACGTTTCTAAGAAGTAAGGTCTTCCCATTTGTATATTTATAGTCTGTATTATTCGCCTACTCATTTGGTCGATATATTCTGATGCTCATATTGCAAAGGTAAATACCAGTTTTTCCCGTCATAACTTACCTATCTATACCTAAAATCTGAGATAGTGCCCAGGATTAATTCTGCCTACTTTCGCCAATAAATTAGCTACGGGTAGCCGGTTCTGTTTGCCACCTTGAGGCCCTTATCATAAATTCTTATCTTCGTAATTCACGGGTTTTATGAGTGGCACGTGGTCGTTTTGCTACGAATCCCTATGATAAATCTAATCTCGTGATATTCGATGTGGCATTAAGATGAGAAGAGCTGATATTTTCTGAACAAACATCAAGTACATGTACACAACAGAAAGGTTAACTGCCCAGTGAGAAGTCAGGGGAAATTCTGTCTTAGTAAACCTTTCTCGCAGTAGTCAATAACTCTTCTTCATCCCACTACTTTTCAGATAGTACCGTAGGAGGGTAACATATCGAAGGCGCATTATCACGCACGCATGATCCCCGATTCGAATCCCGGATCAACACCCTCCCAGGCTAGCCAAACCTTTAATCACCGTATCAATTAATTGGTGTTAGACTGGTTTTGGAGGATAATAGTACTGGGTTGTACATTGTTTGGCCACCGATAGCCATTGTATGGGCCACAGATGCATTCAATTTGCCACTACGATTCTGAATAGAAGTCGAATTCGGGGCGCATCCTAAAGAAGATTGACTAGTGCCAGAGACTTTACAGCCGGTTATACATATGTTCTGGGCATAGCTACGAAGAAGACCTATCCTATACTGGCTCTCTTTAAATTTTTGATAGCCCCGACATTTGAGGTTAGGTAATTCGGACTTTCTCTGTAATGGCAGAAAACTTCAAATGAGTAGCTTATGGGGTATGGACCCATTTCAAAGAGCACCTTTTCTTAACCATCGTATGGAGAACCTGAGTTTAAAGCATTTTGAAGACTTCACACCGTTTTGTTCATATTTCTCCAAAAAAAAAGTGAAGGTTAATCCTTTGGAGAACTTTATGGGAGTGGGAGGATATAAATGTAAATTAAGGAGATCTCCTACAATGACAAGCTAATTATACTGAAGGAGTTTGAAGTTTTTGCAGCCGGCAATTCTTGCTGCTTTGAGGATGCGCCACGTATTTGACCTTTTAGACTAGTAGGGGCAATCTGAAGAGCACTTTTTATGGACATTGTGACCTCTGTAGCCGGTCTATGTAGTGTCTGAGGCTTTCCCCTTCCCTCCCTCTCCAGCAGGTCTCAGCTACTGTCTGACTGTCCTGTCCTGTTCCCAAAGAAATTAATCTCAAGTTGATGCCAGGCCTAAGAATGACTCCTGAGAGTTTGACCATCAGAAATCACCAGATACAAAAGCATGTGCACTGAAACTTAACAAGTTTACTTTACGTCGTTGAACTTGGCAAAAAAATGACTTGACCCTGGATTTGATCTATTCAATACTCTAGCGACAACAGCTCCACTTGGCCCCATTCCTTCTCTCCAGACGCCTGTTTGATTTTTTCTTTCATTTCCTATAATTTTCGTCTGTAATAACTTTACTAGACTCCCGCAATCGTAAAATCCATACCCGAAACCTTTCTGCCAATTTTTTGAATTTATTTATTGATTCCTGCAACGGAACGGTCCGAACATCAGCTTAGCATGAGCTTACTTTAGCGTTATCTGGTCGTGTTGGTACTTTGGGCACCCTTATTTGAAGTTTTTCTGGGAACGTCATTTCGTGGGCATCCTAACAAGGTTAGGCATACTTGACAAGGGCTTACTGCGAGCTTTCTGAAAGAACCGAATGGAAAGAGCCGAATGGCATGGTGGCAAAATATTTTAGTCCTTCTTTCATCGAAGAACAAACAAATTTGTTTCTAGCATACGCCCTTGCAGTACGCGCCATGCATTTGACCATTCCTGCAGTAGTGAAAAACCGTTCGTGATGGCATTCTGCTTCAAAAAAATATTTGTCATCGAGTATGTAGCTCACTTTGAGGTTGGGTTCCCACCATTACCGAAGGATATGACACCGAAAAATGAATGAGCAAACAAAAGTAAATATAAAAATACAAGTAAGTATAAATATAAATAAATAATAATAATAAGTAGTATAAATACCAATATACATATAAATAAGTAATAGACAAATGATCACTGAAGGGATAGGCCACCACTGAAAAAAGAGAAAAAAATATTCTGCTGCATTCCCTGCTAAGAAACCTTTGCTCAGTGACGACGGCCGAACCAAGTAGGTTGAAGAATGTTTTCCCTATCATTGACAGTAATGGCACCAAACAAGTAAGTGATTGGGTAAATAAGCAAATAAATAAATGAGTAAATAAACAAGTAAAGGCTTTATCCTAAAAAANAAAAAATGGTTGATCTGTTTTCTCAAAGAAATTGATTCTTGACTGGCTGTTTCTATTGATCGATTTTGTTTACTCCATCAACGCGACATACTCAATCAGACGTTATATAAGAAAATCTTTTCCCCTAAATGACTTCCGCTACTTTGACATTCCATTGAACTAGAATGGACCATTAATGGTGGCACTGGGTGTCCCAAAGTTTTTTCTCACGTTACTTGGTAACTAATTGTGTCTGCAACAACTACAGTATCCATCACCTATGGCATACCAACTTTCCAAAAACATTTCTCTGGAAAATTTTCCTTTTAGACCTTTGCCGTGGCTGAAGGGATTAGCTAGTTGAAATGTAAGTCATTTACATGCATTTTATTCATTTTCAGGCTGAAATCCATCTTTGGATTCCTTTGAGGCTTCAGACGTAGATATTATAACTGAGACTATTCATCAGTCGAGCTGCCAACCAGGGCACGGGGTTCCAGCACTATTTTTGATGTGACCCCAAAAGTTTAGTGAGTAAACAAGTAAATAACTAAGCAGTTGGGATCGAGCTTATGGCTTTCCTAGCTGCAGACATAAGCCTCTTATCCTCTTTCCGACCAAACATCACTTCTTTTTGCTTCAAAGATCCCGACTCGCACTTTTCCATGGGAAGATCAGCTGTTTCTGAGTCATGAAATCAATTTATTTAATTGTTTTTCTCATTCGTTGGCACAGGGTGCCCGTTTGTTTAAACACACATCATATAAAAAAAGCTTTTCGCTGAAAAAAAAATCCGCTTTCAAAGATTGTTGCAAGCAAAAAGCCCTTAAAACTTCCAAAAGAATGCATGGCGCATCCCACTTCGTTCCACTTTATGTGTAAATTATTAAACCATCTATGCCTTGACCATAAAAATCGATAGTTCCCGTTTATCGATCACTTCCATGGAGACCATTGATTAGTAAGAGGCTTATCGGCTCTAGAAATGTGTTAATAGGCTTTGCGCTCTAAAAACCCAATGATAGTAGCGGAACAGGTGTTTCATGGTAATAGGCCTGACCGGAAGGTAGTTGTTCCGTCGTATCGAGTAATCCCATGGGAAAAAGTAAAATACCAGTTCAGAGGAAGAAAAACTTGTTAGAAGTGCTCATTAAACAGCCTTTCGGTAGTGCTAATCGGAGACCATTCCCAGTTGTGCGATAAAGAAATCCTATTAGGGAATGGTGGTGGTAATAGCCTCCTTAATGTAAATGATCGAAGGGGCAGGGTGGACAGAAAGAAGGGGAATCGTTTCAAGGGGATAGGATTTAATTTATATGATTTAATGAGACGAAGATTGATAAAGTCTCTCCCATTCATCTTCGGTTCCCCACAAGAAACTTGTCAGGCTAGAGAGGATGGAAACATTTGCAGACCGAAGTTTTGCGGAGAAAGAGGAGGATATTCAAAGTTTTCCCAAAAACCCTGAGTATGCCCTATCTCTCATGACCACTAACTTCAGGAAAGGACCAGTTTCGTGAAACTTTCAACTTTCAGGAATTTCCTAGATGTTGCAGGGATCGAGTGACCTATGCACAGCACTATCTGTTGATCACATCTATACCAACAACATTCCTGGCCGTCTAGCCGAACGTCTATCGCCGATTTCACCCCCCTCCCCTCCCTCTAGGCTGTTTTGATGGGAATGTAATCCAATATTGCCAGCAATTCAATTCATTTCACAATGTCCCCTCCTCCATCATCAGCAGACCTCTCGTCATCTGAACCCTCTTCACCCCTATTTCGTGCTGATATGTATGCTGTTGGACCGCCTCCATTGCCTATCTCTCCTCCCACATTGTCTGATCAACGTTCGTTGATTGCACTGTTGAAAGTGCAAGACATACAACATCCTATTGTCGATCCCACATCACTATCCCCACACACTCATCCTACTGCCTCATATGGGAGAGCGGTGGTCGATTTTGTCGTTAGGGGCGGGGCATTTTTCATTGTTATTGCACGCGTCTTCATCTAATCACGTTATCGACTCCGACTCACCCCCCATATAGCCCCTCGTTCTCCAGCTCTCCGCCTCTGTTGTCCTTGGCTGACTGATGTGAACTACTTAGTTCAGTTTCAGACGACATGGAACGTGAACTTGCGTCTCGTTGGAGGGATTTGACCACTTTCCTATGTGAACCGACTCGGGAGAAATGGTGGAAAACCATCATCGAAGCTTATCGGCCACGTCCCTTTCGGTTCGTTACTGGTTACTTACTGCCTGTGTCCTGAAGACGTTTCGAAGAGATTTTTTCGAATTTCAGTGGTATTCCTCATCTTTGTGCCATGTTCGCTTTGTTCGATAAATACAAAGATCATCTGAAGGATCGATATGCCACCGCTTTTGCCATCTTTTTCAAAAAGTAGGTTCCTCCATTCATCCCTTTTCTCCTTCCTTTTTTCTCGATTAATTCCTTGTTTGATGGTGATTTTTCAGTGCTATTTATGACCCAATTGCTTCGGATAATGCCGAAAAAAGCGCTCAATTACTTCATCAGTTTGCGCAGGACACTACGTTGGATTCGGTTCGTTTTTTATTCGATTGTAACGATTTCCCTACCAATGTTGGCCTCCGAGAATATGTTATCAGCTGCCATAGCAAAGTGTCAGTGTGGTGTGACGGCTAAGCAATTTTCTCCTGACAGCTGTCTCGCCTAGTCCCCATTTTTAAAGGGCAAAAGTCAGATCTCTCGGGTTTCGCACAAGTGTTAGACAAGGGCAAGTGTTTTCCATCTGCCCCCCCCCGTATGTGACCGTTCCCAATCTGGAATGGGTACCATTACTAGTATGCGTCATAGCAACTCTGGCTCTGCCAAAATCAATATGTCCGTCCGTCCGGTGCGAGAGTTTGTCGCCGTTGTCGTCGTCCTCGTTGTGTGGTCGTGGGTCGTCGTCGACGACGACGATGACGGCGGTGGCAGTGGTGATGTAGAGATATTGACTGAGGACGAGAGTGAGAGAGAGAATTCTTTTGCCGAGGCGAATAAACACTCGGAGGCGATGACTGCCGCTAATTATCGTGGTCGTTTAGGAGAATTACGTGGCTGATCTGGTAGTCGCATCAGGTTCCTATTCAACTGATGCCCATTTGACAGAAGGAGTCTCAGGGGATGAAGATGTACACTATCTCATAGATTTCGATATGGCATTCCTTGGAGACAACGAGGAGCAGTAGGTTGCGAAATGTCGTCGGCGACTCCCTCCATTACGCCACGTACTCGCATTTTTTTCAGATTTGCCGAGCATGAAAAGGCTCAACGAAAGGAATACAGCCATCTGAGTGATGAAGAATATCGAAAGCAACGGGAAAAGGTGGGGACATTTCGATAATTCGTTCATTTTTGCATATTATTTTGGCATTTCTGCAATTCATTTCATTGCCCCGAGAGCCATCAATTTTTCAAATTCCGTCCCTTTCAAAATGCTTTTCAAAAGGCCTGAAAACGATTGATTTCCAAGGAAAAAGCCAGGCGATGGACTCCTGGCGCTGGCCGAAGTTTGACTACCCAGAGACGCCCTTTCTATTTGTTCTCAAGCTTTGCACTGCGATCGTAGTGGCCGAAAAATCATCGTGATATCAGAGTTAGCATATTTTTAGAGTGCGCCACGCATTTCAGTTTCTATTCTTATATGTAAGGGTACTTGACAGGATGTTTGCCCCATAGAAGTGTTTACTCAAGCTGTTGATGGGTTAGCTGATGTTTACACGCCCTCATACTAATCTAGCCGCAATCGACAGACATTAGGTGGATATATGATCCCACTGACCTAGGAAAGACTCGATCTGCGATCTTGGACGCGATAGTAGCTCCACTTACCTACTCCACATTGTTCCTTTGCGACTATTAGGACAGTAGAAGTAGCAGAAATATGTAAATGTTAAGTAGTTTAAAAGGCCGATTTTAAGAAGGTGCCAGGACGTACGGGTTGGAGTGCTGTCCCCCTCTCAAGCACGCATGGTCTCGAGTTCAGGCTTTGTCCAGTTCACCCGAGCCGTCAATCCATCTGAGGTCTATAAACGTTCGCTAGACTTACTTGGGAGCATAAAAATCTAACTTATACATTGGCCACCACAGCAAACCATTGAGTAGGGCGTAGATGCCTTTAACACAGACTTTGAATGGAGTTTGAATGCGGGGCGCATCCCATAAACTGGGTTGATTAACAGCAAAAACTCGATTCTTTCATCTTTATTCCCTTTAGTCCACATAATCTGAGCCGACTTTTGAGTATCTAAAAGTAAATGTCAAAGTAACGAAAATGGACTGGCAAGTTCAATCGTCCTGGTGATGCGCTCTGATGTAAGGTCTGAGGGGTCTGTACTAGTAAGGTCCAAATTAGTACAAGTTCTCTTTCACTTCACTGCAGTGAATACAGGATGACCTGGAATATGGACTTGATATTTTCACGATGGAATGACCGAAAGTACATCGCGTTTTACCGGTTACTCGCCATTCTTGTGGTATGTAGATGGCAAAGTTTTTTGCTCAGTCCTAAGGATGGGATTTCACAAGCTCAAGCGTCTATCGTGTAACCCTCAAATAGTTCCTTCATGTACTTTTAGTACAACCTCTTAGTCATGACCACAAGTAATTCAGTAGCCTTTGCTCATTCTGAATGCATTCATTACTGCCAATTACTTGCAAACTATTTATCGCCGCTCAAAGCACCCTAGAGCAGCTCTCGCGGGATCGACAAGCAAAGTACGACTCGAAAAAAACCAATTAGAATGTTTTTTTGATCAGAACCTCGATCTCGGACATTACACGAACCCGTACTTGCGCTTTACAAGCACCGTGTCCATTGATTACTTTCTCTGCTAAAGGATTAAACACCATATTAATGATAAAAGTCTGTACCGTGAGAAAATTAAATGGAAGTCTAATCACCAAAAATCCCAAGCAGTGCCGTTTTTCGGCTCGTTTGGGCTCCCAGCAGGAACCGGGGGTGGAGAGAAGTGGTCCGGCTGCACCATTTGTAGTAATTTATAGAACCACTGAACAAAGCCATTTGGCAGGCAGAGCAGGAATATTGTTTCTCCAGTTTATTCAGCCATCTCTTCTACTCCTTGGAATAGAAGCGAAATGCCTGGCGCAACCTAGGGTCATTTAGATGATTTCCGATTGGTCTTCGACCATACTGCTCTAGGAAAGTAAATCCGAGTGAACTACCTTTTAATCAACGCCTCAATTAGGTAGGGTCATGAGCTTTTTGTCAACTTTGCAATCTTTTCCAAGAATTTTTGTCTCATTCTTCCTTCAAATCATGTGAGCTTTGTCAGCTGAACGTGCAATTTCACTGACCGAAGGAAATCACCGTCTTTTAGAACTTTTCTGATTCACTCTCCCATTAAAACTATTTATAAATCATGTGGCAACACTTGGAAAAGGGCCAATTGGGATTCACTAGATATTCACTAACAGAATTACGTTCAGATTAGTTTACAAAGTCTTTACCTAGATAATCCCTCTTCCCAATGGATATGAATCGGCTTTGACCAAGAGAAAAAGGAAACTTCAGTGAGAAAATGAAAGCGTTACAAGAAAAGAAGCCCCTTTCTTAGGTCCCCTCTTGCTTTGAACTCTCTTGGACTAGTCCCTATCGAATCAATGAGATGTCATACCTGATTCACCACTTAATTGAATATTTCATTGAGTCAACAATTTTTTTTCTGTCTACAACTTTAGACCTAACTAACTACTTCTTACTACTTTACCTGCTTTACCGTACTTATCGTCAGGTACCCTCCTTGTCATTCATTCATATATTCCGTTTTTCTTAAAGACTATATTGCTTCTTACCATTGTTCCAAGGGGACCGAAATTGTTGTTGAATACTGTTTTTGTTTACAGGAAGCAAAATTCATTTATTCCATAGCAAATATGGGAAATGGCTTGCATCAACAACACGTGGTACAGTCAACAGTCCCATTCGATCAGAAAACCATTCCCTGGGACTTCATGTTCCCGTTGCGCCAAGCCTTCCGTAATTTCTCGATCATTAGATGCTTGGCTGGGGCGGTTGTGAGAGAATCAAAGAGCTTAGTGGGAGTTCGGCTTTCTTTCGGATGTCATTATCGCCTAAGCCAAATATGCAGGGGNACAGAAATGGGGGCCTACTATCATGCTTTTCGACAAGTTCTCTTTAAAAGTAACTATTCTTCTTCTTCGACGAGAAAGTTCGAGATTGAAAAACTAAGTCCGTTTACCCTTGATCAGGGAACTCGTGGGTAACAGGCGCCGAAGGTCTTCAGTGAAATTGATTTTTACAGATTCGGATAGTTTTTTACCATCTAGGGATTGATCCCGGTTACTTCTAAACTGGAATTTTCTATATCTGTAGAACCTTTTCATATAGTACCGTACCGTGTACCTTCTCCAACAAAGGGATATCCTGTGGTAAGGGGTACTGCTAGAGAAAAAAGTGTTCCTAGCACTCAATCCTTCTATAGAATCATGCTCTCAGTGGACATATTGACAAGCCTCCAGCCTCGAATGCTCATGGCTCATAGGAATCTTGTCCGATCTGATTTATTACCTTTGCCCTAGCTTGATTTATTCTAGGAATGTCATAGGGGCCGTAAGGTCGGCTCTTCCAAGAATTTCCCAGCTTTTTCTGAATGAAGGCTTGTTTCGCTCCGTCATCTATCATGTAGTCATGAACAATCCTCTATCAATTTTCTGACAAAACAAATGAGAATCCTTTTCTTTTATGACACTTGCCAGGGACCCAGTAATCCACATGAGTAATGACACACATTGTCATTTAGGCAGTTCTCGTATTTCATTGGATTAATTGGGATGACGAATTGCCGCTGGCTAAATCAAAATCCCTTTTCTTATTCTCATGGGAATGTTCGGAGAATCGAAGAGCCTGTGCACTTTGTTCGAATCATCCTTCATTTGAGAATACGCCACGCACTTGACTAATATACTTGGAAATTTCCCAGCCGATTTTTAGACCCATATGGAGACCATTAGCGAAATCATGGGCTATTGGAGAAAGTGTAGATTCCTTTGAATTCTGGGAAGGTTCTAAATGCATATTTGGGTCTTTTTTTCGGAATTTCTGCCATTTACTTTACTTGCTATGCTGAAAATGAAAAATTTAGCGCCATTCTATCCATTTTCTCAATGAAATTTTCCCATTTTCCATTCTACGAAAGAAATCGTTGAATTATTTCAATGGGAAGGGAAAGGGAACTGGTCAACTGGGAAGGGGGTGGTGGTTAACGGTTGAAAGCAAAAGCTCGAGTCGTGGTGCATGAGGGATGGGCAGAATCGATTTCCGCCAGGCCAATCACGTCGTAGTCGCTTCCTTTCGGGTTGTATAATTGTTGGGAGGTCTATGTGGGTGGACGAGATAATTGAGTCACATCGCTCGCTTTCTAAACTGATGAATGTGGTATGGATGCCATAGTGTGATAGATTCCATTGCGATCCATCACGGTGGACGTTTACCTGGGCGAAGGGCTGAGCGGTTCTGACGGATCTTTCGAAGAGGAATTTGTTTATTCCAGGATTTCCATAAGTTTTGAATTACTATTTGCCCCTAAAATACAGAAGAGAATGAAGGATCTAACACGATCAGAACCACAATGGGATGCGCCTACGCGATCTTTTCCATTCGGAAACCTAGCGGCTTTTGAATGCGTGGCTTATACTCTTGACTAGCAGCGGCCAGAAAATTTCAGCCAGTAATTCAGCCTTTCCATCCAGTCCGATACCCCCGAACGAATTTGAAGTTCGGTTTGGGTGGGCAGCTGTCAGTCTGGGATTGATGTCCAAACCATATGCGTAGTAACGTCCCTCTGGGGACTACTCCTCCCTCTCTGCCTAGTGGAACCGAATAAAAGCTATAACACGTTTCATTTCCGTGTCTATGACGCTAAATTCCACCATTAAAACCCATAAACCAGCTTTTGTTCGAGTCTAACGTCGCATTGACAACAGATGGCCCCCTTTGTGCTAGAGCATTTCAGCAATATAGCCCTCTTAAGAGCCCGATATAGCGAGGGGGAACAGAGTGGATTACCCCATCAACAAGTGACTAGGAAAACCGACACCTATCGATGCAAGATCAATGAAACAAGTCTTATAAACCCCTAGGACTGAAAGCCGGGGTTAAAATGTGGTTGTAAGTTCTCTGGTATAGTGGCTCTCCAATGTGAGATAGGAAGCTACAAAATACCAGCAGGCTTGGCACCTTACACTGTACCTCTGATCATAGTGGGTAGGATAGCGGGAGCATCTATCCATCAGGAAGTGGGTTGACCATTTCCTTATTCCAGCCTATAGCTACGGGATACGGCAGGTGCAATGTTCATAGTC